TCTCATTTATAAATTCAATAGATCTCAATCAAATAGTTTCATAGTTAAGCAACAGCCACTTATCAAACATAATACTTTATCCGTGTGTATTCAAAATCTCCCCCTTTCTTCTCTGTCTGTAGCACTAATTCAGCATGTCACAGCAGCTCAGTTCAGGCAGGGGAGTGGCATATTTGCTCTACGTAACTCTAAACTCATAAAATCCCACGCATGCGCAGCTCATTCACCAGTGCGATTTCAAAGCGAGAGGAGCTCCCAAGCAGCTCTCTCCAAGCTAAACAACAGAAAGCAGACAGACCAGCTGTCCCTCCGTTATTTCCAACACAGACAAACAGTAACACTTAACAAAAACTCACAAACCAACCACAGAACATAGAACACAAATCCTACTTCGAAGTTTCTTAACTTCATTTATCCTAATCTGCAGATTTATAGTTATTTTCTTATCCATTACAAAACATCTCTATACAATCATAAAATCCTCCCTGGGGGCTCATAGTCTTTTAACAATTATTAAACGTTCTCTTTTATAGAGACTCATACAAGGTTTTTAACCTTAACGTCCTCCCAGGGGGCTCATAGTTTTTTAACAATTATTAAACGTTCTCTTTTATAGAGACTCATAAGATTTTAACCTTAACTAACATATTTCCTTACAAAAACCTAAAAACCCCTGTTCTCAAACCAAAACATATACAGTGGGGGAAAAAAGTATTTAGTCAGCCACCAATTGTGCAAGTTCTCCCACTTAAAAAGATGAGAGAGGCCTGTAATTTTCATCATAGGTACACGTCAACTATGACAGACAAAATGAGAAGAAAAAATCCAGAAAATCACATTGTAGGATTTTTTATGAATTTATTTGCAAATTATGGTGGAAAATAAGTATTTGGTCAATAACAAAAGTTTCTCAATACTTTGTTATATACCCTTTGTTGGCAATGACACAGGTCAAAACGTTTTCTGTAAGTCTTCACAAGGTTTTCACACACTGTTGCTGGTATTTTGGCCCATGCCTCCATGCAGATCTCCTCTAGAGCAGTGATGTTTTGGGGCTGTCGCTGGGCAACACAGACTTTCAACTCCCTCCAAAGATTTTCTATGGGGTTGAGATATGGAGACTGGCTAGGCCACTCCAGGACCTTGAAATGCTTCTTACGAAGCCACTCCTTCGTTGCCCGGGCGGTGTGTTTGGGATCATTGTCATGCTGAAAGACCCAGCCACGTTTCATCTTCAATGCCCTTGCTGATGGAAGGAGGTTTTCACTCAAAATCTCATGATACATGGCCCCATTCATTCTTTCCTTTACACGGATCAGTCGTCCTGGTCCCTTTGCAAAAAAACAGCCCCAAAGCATTATGTTTCCACCCCCATGCTTCACAGTAGGTATGGTGTTCTTTGGATGCAAACTCAGCATTCTTTGTCCTCCAAACACGTCGAGTTGAGTTTTTACCAAAAAGTTCTATTTTGGTTTCATCTGACCATATGACATTCTCCCAATCCTCTTCTGGATCATCCAAATGCACTCTAGCAAACTTCAGACGGGCCTGGACATGTACTGGCTTAAGCAGGGGGACACGTCTGGCACTGCAGGATTTGAGTCCCTGGCGGCGTAGTGTGTTACTGATGGTAGGCTTTGTTACTTTGGTCCCAGCTCTCTGCAGGTCATTCACTATGTGGTTCTGGGATTTTTGCTCACCGTTCTTGTGATCATTTTGACCCCACAGGGTGAGATCTTGCGTGGAGCCCCAGATCGAGGGAGATTATCAGTGGTCTTGTATGTCTTCCATTTCCTAATAATTGCTCCCACAGTTGATTTCTTCAAACCAAGCTGCTTACCTATTGCAGATTCAGCCTTCCCAGCCTGGTGCAGGTCTACAATTTTGTTTCTGGTGTCCTTTGACAGCTCTTTGGTCTTGGCCATAGTGGAGTTTGGAGTGTGACTGTTTGAGGTTGTGGACAGGTGTCTTTTATACTGATAACAAGTTCAAACAGGTGCCATTAATACAGGTAACGAGTGGAGGACAGAGGAGCCTCTTAAAGAAGAAGTTACAGGTCTGTGAGTGCCAGAAATCTTGCTTGTTTGTAGGTGACCAAATACTTATTTTCCACCATAATTTGCAAATAAATTCATTAAAAATCCTACAATGTGATTTTCTGGATTTTTTTTTCTCATTTTGTCTGTCATAGTTGACGTGTACCTATGACGAAAATTACAGGCCTCTCTCATCTTTTTAAGTGGGAGAACTTGTACAATTGGTGGCTGACTAAATACTTTTTTCCCCCACTGTATATGTATATATCTCTAACATAAATCTTATCATAACATGAGTCGACACACAGCTGAAACACAACAGAGACGTCTTTATAATTTTTTTTCTGCACACACACACTCTCTTTCCTAACACACACACATGAAAAGAATACATCCATTCATATGGTCCTACCGTCGCTCCTTATTTGTCATCTTCCACAACTCCAGTTCCCAGAAATGACCCGAAAGTTCACTCTAGTGACTCTCCTAGGATTTACAGCCCATCCTAATGATCACCTCTTTTGAGGGCTTCCTTAAATCAGCGACGTCCTAGTCGTATACTTTTTCCTTATTTCCTGGCCTTATTCCTTCATGCTATTCCTTTTCCCTTTAATTTAATTCAAGCCAAATATCCCTGTGCCCAGTGTTATCAATTCCTATAGACACTCCCCCGTTTGCATTGTTTTCAACGCAAACAAATTTAGAAATTTAGAACGGATCCTTATCCCACAGCAAATAACTGCACAGTGCACACACAAGTTTTTAAACGGTACATCTCCTCAACGCACACACACAGCACACGAACTGACCAGCGCCCAAAATTGTGAGAAATCTCACCTTATCTGCCGGCGTCTTGAGCGGGAGTCACTTCGTAGCTCATGAATGGAACGCTGGAGAGACGCAACACGTCCCAAAGGTCCTCGTCGCCATTCTGTGGTGTCGAGACAACGATGCTGATATGCTGTGATGACAAGAAATCCGCTGACACTGTCCTTGATTATAATGGTTTATAACATTACAGTATCCATTTACAGACTCCTGCAGACATCTGGAAACAACTGACCCAATCTCTAATATGTTATTTCTCCCCGTCCTTTGTTCCAACCATGGTATTTATAATATGTAACATAATATGGGTGGTTTTTTATAGACCAATCCCTGGCCTTCACATAACAGACTCTCTGTTTTAGGGGGCCCCTATAGTCATGTTTTCCAGATGCTTCCGCAAGCAGAGCCAAATTCCTCTAACACACCATTTGCAAATGTCAGTAAAATCATAAACTGTTTAGATACTACACAATACAGGCAGTATGCCCGTGTATCATCTCCAATAAAAGGCTTCAACCAGCCTTTGAATTCAGGGTTTGCTTCCCACTCCTTTCTGTATTTTTGAGTGTACAGTTTAGACTGAGACATGATGAGTTAGCCAGCTAGATGTTTAGCTTATGTCACAGAGAGGCACACACACAGTGGAGGAGGTGAGTAAGTGACTGAGGCTGTGTGAGTCAAATGCAGTGATTTATTTTTGTGCAGTGACTTATTTTAGACAAAGAACATTTTACATTTATATCCTGCCCTGAATGTAAGCCAGGGCAGGATCAGCCAGCGGCGGCTTCCCGCATGCACGATTAATTTGCAGTCTGGACACGGAGGGGTGAACGTCTCCTGTTCTGACTGCAGCTGGGAGGGACTTCTGCGCGAGGACTGGGCCACCTGTGAGTGCTTTGGGACGGGGGTGGCACCCACCGCAGCTCGTTGAGAAGAGTAAGAAGGATACGTGCTCCAATAACACCAGAAAATGTCGCTAGATTTGTCACTAGTCGATTTTTTGAAATTGTGTCGCTAGAGGGGTCTGAATACTCGCTAAATATAGCGACAAAGTCGCTAAATTGGCAACACTGCACATCTGGCTTCTTCACCTGCATGATCATTTGAGACCCGCCACCAGGACAGTTGATAAAATTGAGGAGTATTTCTGTATGTAATAAAGCCATTTTATGGGGAAAAACTCATTCTGATTGGCTGGGCCTGGCTCCCCTGCCCAGTCAAGTGAAATCCATAGATTAGGGCCTAATGAATTCATTTCAATTGACTGATTTCTTTATATGAACTGTAAAATCGTTGAAATTGTTGCATGTTGCGTTTATATTTTTGTTCAGTATATAAATAAATAAAATAAACTACTTCCTTGCAAAGAAAGGTAACTGGAAATGCATACAATTACGCTAGCACTATTGAATAAATAATAAGAAATGTTGCCATCTGTTGCATCTCAATATACCCAAGATATAGCCTTATACCACTTCCAACAAAGGAGACATGGGAAAAGAAGAGAGCAAATAAGGTTGCCTTTGGCTGAGTTGACTACCCGTATTATAAATTCCATCTGGCCATATTTGTTTTAGAGCAGCAGTTGCGACCTTCTAACCATGACCCACTGTCCTTGACAAGCCTTTCCAGCCTAATAGCATGGGTAGGCTACTACGCCTCAGTGGGGAGAAAAAAACAACGCCGTCAACCGAGTTGTCCAATCATAACAACGTTTTTTTTTATTGTGTTCCCGCCTTCTTTAGATGTTGTTATCCAAGAACGCAACTTTTGAGACCTGTCAACTTGTAATATACATTGATTAACAAAATAGCATGTATAAAATAATAATGTGTTATGAGCCATATCACAGCATAGCTCGTTTATATTTGAGAAAAATCAATAATACATTAGAAGGTCGAAATTCTACCAATGGGCGGTTCCCATTTCCTCCAGCGAGGTTTGCGTCAAAGGGTCAGTGCGTGTCCCAAACACTTCGTGGTCTTGTCCGCCCTGGGGACTGATGCCAGGAGTGGAAACTGTATACGACCGGTAAACATCTGGGACGGGAATGTAAAAAACTAACTACCAACGGTAACACAAAATAGCCTTAAACGGAGTGCCACTGGGGCATAAAGACTGTCCATCGGGTTTCCAATGGAAGCGAATGGTTTCGTGAGAAGGCGTCTGACAGCAGAGAGAGCAGGCGGGGATGCCGGGGTTGCTGGAGCGTCAGCCGGCGCAGAGGTCCGATGGCTCGGGGGAAGGATCTGGGGAGTGTCGGAGAGCCTCGTTGGGAGTTTGTCTCCCAGGATCGGAGGCGAGACAGAGATTCAGAATGTAATTCAGTTCAGCGGCGGCCCTCCTGAAGTAACGTTAGTAGATACTTCGGAACCGGACTATGAGGGTTTGCCGCAGGGCGCTTCGACCAGCACCCACATGTTTGCAGGAGCAGTGGCTGGGATCATGGAGCATTGCCTGATGTTCCCCATCGACTGTGTCAAGGTAACGTGGTATGCTGGGCTAGCGTTTAGACGCTAACTAGTTGTAACTGACTGATATTGGAACTTGGGCACATTACATGGGATGGATTCCGTTGACTCGTCAGTCATGACATGAGGCTTCAACTTGTTTGTCAGGTCACAGCACAAGCACAGACGAGGCAAGGTCGAAACCGGACAGGCTAACATTTCAGCTAGGGAACTAATTTAGCATGTTAGCTAACTAACTTCCATCCACTGCGAATTTATGTGGACCTACTAACCCTTCTTGCTAGGTAGGTTAGATAACGTTAGCAAGTTAGCCAACAAAACTGCACACGAGATTTGTCACATTATTTCTCGGCATCAACACGGTAGTAGCTTAATTTTGGCATGCAGGATTTCATTTAAGTTAATAGGAAAACTTTTAGCAAACAGTGTATTTTGCAGTTGTTAGCATCATCTCCTTAGCTAGATAGCCATTTTAGCTAACGTTAGCTAGCTAACCAAACCAACAAGGTCGGCCTGTGCATCAGCTCGAGCCTGGGGGTCAATGTTGATTAGCTAGTAGCAAGCGAGCTAGCGCCTACTAGAATGAGGTTAGGCTTATCATTTTCACAATGAATGTTAGCTGGCTACTTTATTCCGTATTTTCATGAGCAGATTTTCGAAGCTGTTTTGATACTTCTCAAATTAAATGAAGTGATGTGTTATTTGCTTTGGGGAAGGAGACAGAGTTAGCATGAAGCAGCACGTGTGCCCCTTTTCCTGTACATACAAGCCAAAACAATGTACAGCGCATTGATAGCGCTATTGACATACTACTACAAACTGCTTACATACTACTATTAACAACTTCTCCGTATTTTCTGAACATTCACTGTATTCAAGAAGAGAAGCCATATGTGGGAGAAACCACGAGCACCCTTCTGTCAAAATAGTCTCTACACTTTGCAGCACAAAAACATAGCCGAGCTACAAGCAGCTTTTAACTAGGCAGAGAATGCATAAACGCTGGTGTGGTCTTCTAAGTCAATGTTAACTGCTACCTGGCTGGCAGGATTTAGGTGGGGTGAAACTGTTCATTGTTTACAGAAAATACAGGGCTGGATGTTCTGGGATTAAGAGTACAATGCTACTCTGTTGTGCTAATTGTGCAGAATTAGGCAGACAAATTGCCTCTACCACTGCACACTTTTAAGAATCAAAGTTCTGTTATTATCATAAAACTTTAAATTAGTTTTGGATTATGTACTTAGCCGGGATGGCTCGGGTGTTATGTAAACAAGAGATGATAAATTACATTGGCCTGCCTGTGCAGTTTTGACAGGGCCACTCAATGATTTAGGTCTACTCTGTAAAGGGATGTAACACATGAGCCATGCCAATGTCTGGTATCTTCCTATCTTGTGGTCCCTGTAGAGCAGGGGTCTCCAACCCTGTTCCTGGAGAGCTACCCTCCAACCCGAGTTGTAATTAACTTGGTTCAGTTTATCAACCAGCTAATTATGAGAATCAGGTGTGCTAGATTAGGGTTGGGGTGAACCTACAGGACGGTAGTTCTCCAGGAACAGGGTTGGAGAGCCCTGCTGTAGAGAGTCATGAGTTGGTCCTTGATGGAAATAATTGTGTACTACTACGCAGAGACAGAGCAACAGAGTGAGAGTGGTATGGTAGGTAGGGAGAGGAGAGGAGTCAACTGTTTGTGTCAGGTGGGAGAGCAGGGCTCTCTCAGAACAAAGCAGAGATTCATCCATCTTTCCCAGCTGTAGTTCCCACCTCTGATCCAGGTGCTGCTCACACAACTTGGGCTGTGTCTCAATAGTCGGAAGTGGCTTCCTCTCCCTGTCTCCTCTCTTTTCACTGACATGAAACGACAGTCGAAACAAAGCATGTTCCCAGTGTGCATCCAGCCACCATGTTGCTTCACATGTAGGCTACTGTGTTTTCAGATCCGTACAGGCGAAGGAGATGAGATGAGATGCGGCGAGGATGTATCTTTAGAGTAATGAGGTGCAGCCCAGACAGTGAAATTTTCTGCCTGCTGAGGAAGGGCAGCCTGAGCTAGACACTACACAGACTCACAGATCTATAAATCATGTCACCTGTCAAACAACATGGCATTAACTGGCCCTACTTATAAACACATTACCAGATCTCTACAGATGCAGGAGACCTAGCTCAAGCTGACAGCTGACCCCAGTGGACTAGCACTGACAGACACACAAACACAGTTAAAAATCCTTGGAAAATAGCATGCAGGGGTTGTGACACAGATTGCATGGTAGAGATAATGTCGTAACTTGTTGAGGTTAGACAAGCTCTCTGCAATACACAACCATACCATAGGCTACATATACCCGTGTGTCAGGGCAGAGGGAACTGTTTTAATTTCATATAACTTTTATTTACAGATTAGTCACATTGAGACATTGACATCAAATATCTTGCAGGAAAGACCGTTTCAATATGGCAGCAATCTGCAAAGATGCACATAAATACATTTAAATCTCTTAAAGGTCCAGCATTCCACATAGCCTATAGGGGTGGCCTGAGGCCCTGTTTACAGTTCCTGGAAAGCGTGCACACACCAGTGCAGAACGCAATCAGCATGTGAGAGTCCAGGGCCTCTCCTTTGCTTGTGGTCATTATTAGTAGACCCTCTATGCTTCTCACAGCACTAGCCTTACAGTGAGACGATTAACCCTGACACACTGGCCCAACGATAAGGATTGTGTGTGGGGTCAGGTTGTGTGAGTGCTGCTGGTGAGACAGATGCTTACAGGAAGTCAGCATATGTCCCTCTCTGACCCTGGGGTCTCGTTATTCAACACTTCCTTCTATTCAACTGGGCTTGACTACTCAACATTTTCAAAATATTTAGCGGGTGGAATGTATAAGCACTGACTACTTACTGTGTTTTGATTGGTTAGCAGTGTATTCATCCCACCTCTGCTCAGACTTCATTGGTTACTAACATGGTAGTTGCTCAAATGTACGGTAAACGTTATGGTTGCAGTAAGGTTAGGTATGGACGGAAGTTTATGGTTAGGTTATGACTAGGGTAGTCAGTAGGTGTGTGACCTCTAACCTGTCTCCCCTGTGTAGACGCGTATGCAGAGCCTACAGCCTGAGCCTGCTGCCCGCTACCGGAATGTGATGGACGCGCTTAGGCGAATCATAACCACAGAGGGTGTCTGGCGACCAATGAGAGGGCTGAATGCCACGGCCGTGGGGGCGGGACCGGCACACGCTCTCTACTTCGCCTGCTACGAAAAACTGAAGAAGAGTCTGGGTGACGTCATCCACCCCGGGGCTAACAGCCATCTGGCCAACGGTATACCAGGAACACACACACATTCAAAACACACACTAGCACATGCACACACCAATCCAATACTTCTCTGCAACCCCTCTTTGGGTTACTTGTTGACTTCCAGGAAACCTTTTTTTCTCTAGTGAAAGCTAGCAGTTCATTTGGTGTTTCCAATATTCTTTTTTTAGCAACTCAAGGAAGTAGTGAGGAAGATTCAATGAAAGGGTTTTGCTGTATTTGTACAGCTATGTTGCTGTAGTCCTGTAGAGATAATCTCTGTTCACACTGCAGAGAGAGGGAGAGAAGACCCCCTGGACACTAAGCGGACGCCGCTCGGACTAACCGAGATGAACCTTGCTCTCAGACACTTGAGTTATGTGTGTGGGTGAGTCAGCCTGCCAGTTCTAACAGCTGGAGCAGAGTGGCGGGAGAGTGGTGGTGCCACACCCTTCATTTCCCCATCCCCTAGACACTAGAGTGGGCTAATGCCTACGCTATACTCCAGGCTCTCTCATACCCAGTACAGTAAACAGGCCCCCTGAACTTGGTTTCTTCCTATGCTCCTGCCATCTAGGGAGTTTTTCCTAGCCACTGTGCTTCTGCATTGCTTACTCTTTGGGGTTTTGTGACAACTGCTGATGTAAAAAGGGCTTTATAAAATACATTTGATTGGCCTGAAACTAACTTATTGGGCCACCTGCCAGTGTGATAAAAACATCACCAGCCACTCAGGTGGTGGATCAACTGTTGGCTGGGGCTAAATCTGTCCCAGCAGGACAGTAGGAGTGGTATCTTTCTGGCCATGGGGCTGATATGACCCTGTCTGTATGCTCTCTATGAGGTCAGAATTCTGCCGAGTCAGCCAGATCCACAAATAGACCAGGGCCACAGACTGACTACATGCCATGCTTCGGCGGCCCGGGTCCACGCTACAGACACACATCAGAGAAAAGTTTTTATCCTGAGCGCTGCTGCGTGAGGAGAGCCTGGCACTATTGCTGCAGCTGCGGAGGGGGCAGTGTATGTGATGGGAGTGAGGTACAGTGGGGGAAAAAAGTATTTAGTCAGCCACCAATTGTGCAAGTTCTCCCACTTAAAAAGATGAGAGAGGCCTGTAATTTTCATCATAGGTACACGTCAACTATGACAGACAAATTGAGAAAAATAATTCCAGAAAATCACATTGTAGGATTTTTAATGAATTTATTTGCAAATTATGGTGGAAAATAAGTATTTGGTCACCTACAAACAAGCAAGATTTCTGGCTCTCACAGACCTGTAACTTCTTCTTTAAGAGGCTCCTCTGTCCTCCACTCGTTACCTGTATTAATGACACCTGTTTGAACTTGTTATCAGTATAAAAGACACCTGTCCACAACCTCAAACAGTCACACTCCAAACTCCACTATGGCCAAGACCAAAGAGCTGTCAAAGGACACCAGAAACTAAATTGTAGACCTGCACCAGGCTGGGAAGACTGAATCTGCAATAGGTAAGCAGCTTGGTTTGAAGAAATCAACTGTGGGAGCAATTATTAGGAAATGGAAGACATACAAGACCACTGATAATCTCCCTCGATCTGGGGCTCCACGCAAGATCTCACCCTGTGGGGTCAAAATGATCACAAGAATGGTGAGCAAAAATCCCAGAACCACACGGGGGGACCTAGTGAATGACCTGCAGAGAGCTGGGACCAAAGTAACAAAGCCTACCATCAGTAACACACTACGCCGCCAGGGACTCAAATCCTGCAGTGCCAGACGTGTCCCCCTGCTTAAGCCAGTGCTTAAGCCCTGCTGTCCAGGCCCGTCTGAAGTTTGCGAGAGTGCATTTGGATGATCCAGACGAGGATTGGGAGAATGTCATATGGTCAGATGAAACCAAAATAGAACTTTTTGGTAAAAACTCAACTCGACGTGTTTGGAGGACAAAGAATGCTGAGTTGCATCCAAAGAACACCATACCTACTGTGAAGCATGGGGGTGGAAACATCATGCTTTGGGGCTGTTTTTCTGCAAAGGGACCAGGACGACTGATCCGTGTAAAGGAAAGAATGAATGGGGCCATGTATCGTGAGATTTTTAGTGAAAACCTCCTTCCATCAGCAAGGGCATTGAAGATGAAACGTGGCTGGGTCTTTCAGCATGACAATGATCCCAAACACACCGCCTGGGCAACGAAGGAGTGGCTTCGTAAGAAGCATTTCAAGGTCCTCGAGTGGCCTAGCCAGTCTCCAGATCTCAACCCCATAGAACATCTTTGGAGGGAGTTGAAAGTCCGTGTTGCCCAGCGACAGTCCCAAAACATCACTGCTCTAGAGGAGATCTGCATGGAGGAATGGGCCAAAATACCAGCAACAGTGTGTGAAAACCTTGTGAAGACTTACAGAAAACGTTTGACCTGTGTCATTGCCAACAAAGGGTATATAACAAAGTATTGAGAAACTTTTGTTATTGACCAAATACTTATTTTCCACCATAATTTGCAAATAAATTCATTAAAAATCCTACAATGTGATTTTCTGGATTATTTTTTCTCATTTTGTCTGTCATAGTTGACGTGTACGTATGATGAAAAATACAGGCCTCATCTTTTTAAGTGGGAGAACTTGCACAATTGGTGGCTGACTAAATACTTTTTTCCCCCACTGTATAAAATAAGTGGAGACTGTGTCCGTTGTTTTCAACGAAATCTACTCACGTTCACATACGCCGATTCATGGACCGTCGATATCTGGGTCGCATACGGGTTACATGGCCTAACTTCACGTGCACTAGCACTCAGTGCGCACAGGGAGCAGCGACGACGTCATCACGTCATCCAAAAACATGGCAGATATTGGATGAATATAAAATGTTAATATCTTCGGTTGTGAGTGATGGGACTTTTTTTTTGCCTCTGCAACAATTGTTTGGCTGACTATAGCTAGCTAGGCTAATTGAGGCCACAAGCTGCGCTTTCTCCCCAACCCCATTCAGATAAAACAACAGCCTACTTGTTCGTTGCTCGTTGTAGCCTACTCATTCTCATTTCGCAAACTTTTAATTCTGTAATTTTATTCCATCTTGCATTGCATTAGCTTTGATTGGCCAACATAAACAACAAGCTACACACGTCAAAAAAACGACATTGAAAAGTTTGTTTTATTATACTGAACAAAAATATAAACGCAACAATTTCAAGTTCATATAAGGAAAACAGTCAATTGAAATACATTCATAAGGCCCTAATCTATGGATTTCACATGACTGGGAATACAGATATGCATCCGTTGGTCACAGATACATATGGGAGAAGAAAAAAAAGGTAGAAAACCAGTCACTATCTGGTGTGACCACCATTTGCCTCATGCAGCGCGACTCCTCTCCTTCGCATAGAGTTGATCAGGCTGTTGATTGTGGCCTGTGGAATGTTGTCCCACTCCTCTTCAATGGCTGTGCGGAGTTGCTGGATATTGGCGGGAACATGCTGTCATACACGTCGATCCAGAGCGTTGACATCAGCAAACCTTTCGCCCACATGACACCATACACGTGGTTTGCGGTTGTGAGACCGTTTGGACATACTGCCAAATTCTCTAAAATGACGTTGGAGGCGGCTTATGGTAGAGATATTTACATTTAATTTTCTGGCAACAGCTCTGGTGGACATTCCTGGAGTCAGCATGCCAATTGTACTCTCCCTCAACTTGTGGCATTGTGTTGTGTGACAAAACTGCATATTTTAGAGTGGCCTTTTATTGTCCCCAGCACAAGGTGCACCCGTGTAATGATCATGCTGTAATAATCAGCTTGTTGATATGCCACACCTGTCAGGTGGATGGATTATCTTGGCAAAGGAGAAATGCTCACTAACAGGGATGTAAACAAATTTGTGCACAACATTTGAGAGAAGCTTTTTGTGCGTATGGAACATTTCTGGGATCTTTTTATTTCAGCTCATGAAACATGGGACCAACACTTTACATGTTGCGTTTTATATTTTTGTTCAGTGTAAATTAATAATAGAAATGTCATGGTACAGTCACGAGCCAGTTTATTAGGTACACTCATCTAAACTCAGCAAAAAAATAAACGTCCTCTCACTGTCAACTGCGTTTATTTTCAGCAAACTTAAATATTTGTATGAACATAACAAGATTCAACAACTGAGACATGAACTGAACAAGTTCTACAGACGTGTGACTAACAGAAATTGAATAATGTGTCCCTGTCAGTAACAGTCAGTATCTGGTGTGGCCACCAGCTGCATTAAGTACTGCAGTGCATCTCCTCCTCATGGACTGCACCAGATTTGCCAGTTCTTGCTGTGAGATGTTACCCCAGTCTTCCACCAAGGCACCTGCAAGTTCCCAGACATTTCTGGGGGGAATGGCCCTAGCCCTCACCCTCCGATCCAACAGGTCCCAGACGTGCTCAATGGGATTGAGATCCGGGCTTTTCGCTGGCCATGGCGCAACACTGACATTCCTGTCTTGCAGGAAATCACACACAGAACGAGCAGTATGGCTGGTGGCATTGTTGTGCTGGAGGGTCATGTCAGGATGAGCCTGCAGGACGGGTACCACATGAGGGAGGAGGATGTCTTCCCTGTAACGCACAGCGTTGAGATTGCCTGCAATGACAACAAGCTCAGTCCGATGATGCTGTGACACACCGCCCCAGACCATGACGGACCCTCCACCTCCAAATCAATAGAAGGATTACTTTTATACTATTCCAGGTATTCCTTAAAGAGGTAGGGTTTCAAGTGTCTCCGGAAGGTGGTCAGTGACTCCGCTGTCGTGGGGGAGCTTGTTCCACCATTGGGGTGCCAGAGCAGCGAATAGCTTTGACTGGGCTGAGCGGGAACTGTGCTTCTGTAGAGGTAGAGGGGCTAGCAGGCCAGAGGTGGATGAACGTAGTGCCCTCGTTTGGGTGTAGGGTCTGATCAGAGCCTGGAGGTAAGGAGGTGCCGTTCCCCTCACAGCTCCGTAGGCAAGCACCATGGTTTTGTAGTAGATGCGAGCCTCAACTGGAAG